ACTTTGCACTTACTCTTAGCTATAAGTTCTGCCCCTCTCTTGCAAGCCATGCTTTGGGACCCCCGAGCTCCCTCTGAACTTGGATGCATGAGAGCCGGCTCTTCCACACTACACTATTCTAATTCGGGTAGTATCCTGGGTGTAAGCAATGCCTGGAATCCCTGAGATTCCTTGGAACTTTAAAGCACCTTGGATAAAGAGAAGGCTTTGGAAATCTGGATCCCGAAAGTGGCTCAATCGCATGTTATTAGACATTAAGGTTGAATTAGGCTACTCGGATCTAGCTGTTAGCTTTTGATGTATCCTTTAATATCCAGTTTGATTCATTGGGTTGTAATTATTTTGTATGAAACTCGGGGTGTATAGTAAAAGGGTGTGGGAGGGGTCTTTACTTTTCTTGTATCCAAAGGGTAGAAATCACGAATTAGGATTTTATTCAAACTAGAAATCCTGCCTATTGGGTCTTTAATACTGACTCAATCACATAGATACCATGCCTATAGGATTTAACGCTTAACTTTACCGCAAAAATCACCTAGAAAGCATTTCTATAGGATTTAACATTCATGTTCTGCAATGACACATATAGAGATCATGTCTATAGGCTCTTGCATTTCTGCATATATAAATGTCATTAGGCAAACCATTTATAGGCTTAATAACAAAGTTGCATATAGACATCATGTGTATAAGACTCTTATTGATATCAGGAAAGGGTGTTAAAATCAGTAAAACATATAGAAAGCATGCCTATAGGAAACCTCGTCTTTAATAGCATCATTCGTTCTTAAACAGTATCGTTTGCTGGAACTAGTGTCTTTATTAAAATTGGTAATTTTCTACTTCTGAAGCCCGCTAAAATTGGTAAACCTTTTTCCTATAGCCAATCTGCACTCCCCCGAAACTCGTAAACCTTTTAATCAGTCTACATCTTTTCTGAAATAACTGGTAACTCTTTTCTAAAAATCGGTTTGCATCTTTTCTCTTTGTTTAAACTGATAATTCTTTTTTCTAAAATCAACTTGCATCTTTTCTGAAACTACTGGGTACCTCTTTGCATCTTTTTCCTGAAATTAATAGATCCTACGCCTAGGTTTTTTTATTTCAACTCATAAATAAGGGTTGGCTAATTAATGAATTGGATCAGTCCCTGACAACTGTATCCGAGTTGCCTAATACAGACTCTCTGTTTAAATACATGTGTTGAACCAGTCCGCTCGCTGCTTAATTTAATCTAAGACCAAATCAGAATTTGTCAAGGCATGCTAAACTAAATTATTGTTTGACTTCTGGGGTTAATTTGAGCCTTGTATGCTTGTTTGTCCTCCCCTTTTACTTGATACTTGTTTTGAATGTCGAGCTAGAATTTTATCCTTTAAACTCTACAAAGGCCCCCATCCCTTTCTTCCCCTTTAGGATTAGAAGTCCTAATACTCCAGGACTAATAGGATTGGGATGGGTAGTAGCATGCGATAAGTAAACGATACCGTTCCGCGCTTTAATACCTTAGCAGGGTGGGAAGGGTAGACATGGAGATGATGATTACACGTTAACACTCCGCGTACAATTGAGTACCAATGTTGTGCGAATGATCCATGTAATGTATAAACCTAGGACCCCTTTCTCCTTCTTTATTAGTTTAATAAAATTTTCTGAATCTTTAAAGCTATTGCATTTTCAATTCCTGCTTCTCGCATGATCTTTTCGGATTATTTGCACTAAGTACTTGACCTTTTTCTCCACTTGCACGTTTTTTTACAAAATTGCTCCTTTAAAATTCAGCACTTCTTTTAACCTTTTGTGCTTCTTGTACTTGTTTATTTTTTACATCTAAAGTCAAAATGGTAGCATGTCCGGGAACCACACTAGTGGATCTTGAGGGGTGCCTAACACCTTCCCCTCGAGATAATTTCAAGCCCTTACCCAAAACTCTGGTCTGCATCTTTAATTCTTCTAAAAGTGTCCTAATGCACTATAATCATTAGGTGGCGACTCTCCAAACTCTCAAAAAACCCAATTCCCAAAGTGGGAAAATAGTTGTCTTCCCAAATGTTGTGAACCCGATTCCACGAGGAAAAAAGGGGGCGTCGACAGCGTAAATATCATTTAATTTCGTGAGATAGTGCAAAGAGGGGATGTAGTAGTCACCAAGATTGCGTCGGAGAACAACTTGGCGGGCCCGTTTACTTAGGGCTTGCCACAGAAGACTTTTGATAGGCATGTAGACGGAATGGGTGTCAGAATTGTAGACGTATGGTTATGAGTCTAAGTGGGAGATTGTTAGGATATACTATAAGCCATGCGTATTGTTATAGTATTCTTTATGGAATAATTTTTTATTTATTTATTCTACTCAATAAAGTTTTATTTTAAATAGATCATGTATTTGTTTGTGTGTCCATTGCTTATATAGTAGATGATTTAGTGTATAGAGTTTAGCTTATACATGGAAGATTTAATCATTGTTTCTTATAAGTCATAAAGTTTGTGTTCACAATCTAATGATGGAATTGGACAA